TGGTGGTCCCTACACACGTCTGTTCTATTTCACATCCGTGGGAGCATACACTATCTGTCCCTTTGCATGGCTGCATTTCAGTTTCACTCAGCCTACTGTTTTCCCGGTTCTTCCATGTCATAGCATGTTCCAGGACCTCATCTCTTTTTACAGATGAGTAACAGACCATCGTCCGTACCACAGTTGGCTTATCCCTTAGGTTCTTTCCACCTTTGGCTCCTGTGAACCATGCTACAATGAACACTGGTATCGAAGTATCTGTTTGCATTCCTGTTTTCAACTCTTTTGAGTATGTAGCCAGAGGGAAATTGCTGAAGCATATGGCGTTACAGACTCAGAAACCCACAGGGGCAGTTCTGCTGTGTCCTATAGGATCGCAATGAGTCGAAAGCGACTCCATGTCAGTGACAGAGATGGTATTTCAATGGTTGACTTTTTGAGCAACCACTAGATTATTTTCCCCAGTGGTTGTACCATTTTACAGTGCCACCAGCAATGGATGAAGGGTCCAATGTCTCCACAAGAGGACTTTTCCCTTTGCTTTGAGGAATGATGGTGGAATTTAAAAAACTGTAGTGAGTACCTTTGGGGAGAAAGATGGGGCTTTCTACTCCCATAAAGAGTTATAGTATTGAAGCCCACAGGCCAGTTCTACCCTGTCCTGTAGGGGCTTTGTGAGTCAGAATCGACTCTATGGCATGAGTTTGGTTTGCTTTTCTTTTTCTTTCTAATGGGTACCTGAGACACGGGGTGCCCAGAACATCCAGCAATACTGCTAATGCAGGAGATGCTCATGCAAGCAGACCAACATCTGGAAAATTTCAGGTGATTCCAGAAAAAGAAACAGAGTGGCCTATTTCCTCCAGCTTCTCAGAAACTCAAGGGGTGACAGAGGCAGCTGGGAAGGCAGCTGGCCTGTTTGGAACATGCGCTGCCAGTTGGTGTGTTGGTGGACTGGTTAAACTGACTTTAGGAAACCTCAGGGTCACAGTATTGCAGAAGCTAGTACAGAGCCAAACATGTACTGTAAGTAGCTCTGAGTTGGCTGAAGGGAGGAAGGCCAGGTGTCTCAGAAGCCATCGATTCAATTTTCCTAAATGTTTTCATGCCTTTCACCTTACCTGAGAATCCTCACTGCTAAACAAGAAGGAAGGCAGGGCAGCATCTATTGTACCCATTTTACCAAAGGAGAAACAGACTCGGAGGGGCAGGAGATGTGCTCAAGACCACCTACCTGGCACCTGGGAAGGCACAACACTAGTAAAGGAGACAGAAGGTATTCCCAGACTGGCCACTTCAGATGGCCCCACGTCCCACTGGAGCAAAGGATGCTGGTTCTTCTGTTAGCCATAGACAGGACTCGAGGTGCATAGCCCTCCCAGTGGGTTTTCATGTGCCTTTTATTAAGGACAAGGAGTGGTGTCTGGCTGCTAACCTATAGGTCACAGGTTTGAAACCACCAGCTGCTCTGTGAGAGAAAGTTGTGGCAGTTACTTCTATAAAGGTTTAAAGCATTCCTTGAAGGTTTGAGGACTCCAGGGGACAGTCCTACATTGTTCTACAGAGGCACTATGAGTTGTGATCGATTTGAAAGCAGGGAGTTTGGATTGGGTTTTATCAAGCGAACTGTGAGGCTGTCTTAACTTCTTCCCAATGCTTCCTTCCCAAAGGTAGGAATGGTCTGGGCCCAGAGTCAGTGGGGTGACAGGACTGTCTGTAGACAGCCTTTACTTGGGCCCTCCTCCCTCTCCCACCCCTGTTGCAGCAAACAGTCACCATTGCACTTCTCTGGGGTCGAGGATTGCTTTTTAATTTAGATGGGGTCTCAGACCCCATCTCTCTAGAGAACCAAAACCAGTAGCCCTTACATGTTATCTACACAGAAAGATTTATCTCAAGGAAATGACTCACACAGTGGTAAAGGCTGGCAAGTTCCATGTCCGTGGTTCAGGTGTCACATTGGAGCATTCTCCTGACTCACATAGCTGCTGTGGCTCATAAATCCAAGACTGGCAGGTCAGGCAGATGACAGACTGCTGGCTGCAGAGGTAGATAAACCTCAGGATAGCAGGTAAGATGGCAGGCTGCTGACTCACCGGCTGCAGAGGCTAATGATCCTCACAGTTGGCAGGTCATACAATAAGCTGCTGCATCAAGATTAGATGATGGGGATCCAGATTCAGCAAAAAGTAAAAGAGCTTTGTCAGAATGTCTATCTATATTGGAAATAGGCCACACCCCCGAGGAAAGTCCTCTTCTGGACCTCTGCTCATAGCCAAGCTCATCATTCTATCAGAGCTCATGAGGCCAGGACTATGACTGCCAAACCACGGAGAATCGTGGCCTAGACAAGTTGACCCACACCTTTAAGCACGGCAGTTGGACTACAAAGGAACAATTTTGTGACCTATCTGTCTATGAAGATATACACATCAAACACTGCAAGAGAGCACTCAGGGCTTTATGCCAGGATCTGCAGTATTTCTCCTCCCTCAATGCAGACACACTCCAATTGACTTTCAAAAAAGGACATGCAGCCCTTGGCAAATCTCAGAGGAAAACTCATTGCATTTTGGTGTGTGGGGGGGGTGGGGGTGGGGGGAGCAGGCTGAGATTGCCTTCGGGAAATTTTCTGAAGGCCTCAAAACTAGAAGGAAGTCTGGGGGAAATATTGAAAATGTACAGAATGTCAGAAGGAATGCAGCATTGTTGATTCCTAGCCGTGTCTGCCTGAATAATAGATGCAAATAAGTGCTAATAAGTACAGTTGGAAAAGCTAATGGAAAAACCACCCTTCCCAGGAGGACCTCTGCACAGATGTGCAAAGCTGCAGATAGCCTGCCCTGCTAGCATGATAGTGAGAGAGCCTGTGTAGACATGTCTCAGGAAGTACTTGTGGCTATAATTTGCTCTGGGCTGTGAGTTTGGCCTGGGGGCTGGGGGGAACTCTTCTCCCATCTTCTCCCCACTGAGAGAGAGAGAGAATCATAAGTGGTCACAGGTTTGAGTGCATACTGTGTGCTCTTGGTCAGTTTCCCTGCCAAACGGTGGCCAGGCCTTCTAGGTGTTGAGAGGGTGCTGATGTTTCGGGGCCAAGGGAACACAAGGAGTAGGTTAAGGCCAGGTTTTCCTACTTCCCTCTCCTTCCCCTTCTTTTCCTCATCCTCTCTCCTCTTGCTCTGCTCTGCCAGCTGTGGGTGTGGATTGGATAGATTCCCTGGCTCTTTTTCATCTTGACACTTAAGTCCTTGTCCCTTACATTCAGGGCATCCAATCTGTACACTCTCCCTCCGCCTCACACACAGATAACACGCAGCACACTTGGGCCAGGTAGTCTCTGAGCTCAGAGATCTGGAGAGGGAACCCCAGCACCAAACCTAGGCCAGTTGGCTATCAGCCAACCTGGCCTGGGCCCTGTCTCTGTCACCCTCCAGATGTGTTGACTTCAACAACTAGGTGGTATCCTTGTTTCCTCATCTGCCAAAATGGGAATCATTACATGGACTTTGTTGTTGTCCGAGTCCTGGTGGCTTAGTATTTACAAGGTCTGCACGTGCAAACCACCAGAAGAAAGGCCAGGCTTTCTATTCCCATAAATTGTTAGTCAAAGAAAGAAGAAATAAGACCCACAGAGGCAGTGCTACTTTGTCCTACAGAGTCAGAATCGAAAGACGGCATTAGGTTTGGTGGCTGTTGTTGCAAGAGTTCCAGGCAGGTCAGGATGGTCTTGGTTTGTCTCTTGACCTTTCCTGGGCCACTTTTAGATGCTCTGAGCTTACCTAAGGGCATCTAAGGAGGTCTCAGGGATGTTCTGGGTAGATTACCACCCAAGGCCTCTTTGGGAGTGGCTCTGCCCCCTAGCCTCCCCCTCAAAGATCACTCAACTCTGTCTCCCAATCTGGGTCAGCCCTTTGGAGTCAGGATAACTAAGCAAAGAAACCAAGAGAGAAAATGGTGGCCGGTGGGGGTGGGGGCAACACACACACACACACACACACACACACACACACACACACACGGAAGGGAGGGGGGGAGAGGGAGAGAGGAAGGCAATTATCCTTCACTTTATTTTACTAAATGTGCCTCTGCAGGTGAAAAAAATGTTAGATCTTTAAGAGTGACTGATCTGAACCAGTTTCTCATGGTTCCTCAGAGAAGCCAGGATGCCTGCTCTCCCTTCTCTGCCACTGGCCGTCCCTAAGAAGGGGACAGGCATCTGATACTATGTGACTGGATTGGCCATGATTCTGTTGATGGGTGTGGGTGTGGATGAAGTGGGTGTTGGGGGATGTTAGCTCAGATTGGCTTTGTTCACCCCACCCACTCATTTCTAGGGCAGAGAACCCTATTGGACTTCATGGGTGAGGCCCCTGGGAAGAGCCTGGGTCATGGGGGACTTTGAACCCTGGAATTTGGGGGTCGCGGCAGACTCCTGGGGCCGCGGTGGTTGAATCTCACCCAAGCGGGCTGCACGCAAGCAGGCATCTCTCGGAATCTCTCCCTTGTTTAAGCCTCTGTCTCTCAAGAGCCCCGCGCTCAGTAGCAGCAACTCCTGGGTGCAAGCCCCAGTCTAGCTGTGGTCACAGACCGCCCAGGTGACGCCTTGTCCTTCTTCCTAGCCAGCACCCAGGTGTGACCCAACTAAGGAAGGGACAAGCAGCAGTAGGGAACCTAGATATTAGGAACCCAGGAGACCGGCGAGGCCCCTGCCATAACGGCCGCTGTCGCGGGACCGCACCCATCGGCTGCTTCTTCCGAGTGCAGGGCCAGCGGGGCCGCGGGAGCCGCAGAGCGCATGGGGGCGCGGCGTCCGCGAGCTCCCAGGAGGACCGAACCGAGCGCGGGAGCGATCCCCGCCCCGCTGGGCCACTGCCGTTGCCGCCAGCACGGCGGGGCGGGGCCCGGGCCGGGCCAGGGGGCGGGGCGCCAGGCGGGCGCGGCGCTATTTGCAGCCTCGCCGGAGGCTTCGCTCGCACTTCGCTGGGAGCCTTCCCCGGGCGCTAGCCGGCTCTGGCGGCGCTGCGGGAGGAGGGAGGGCCGGCGCGGCCACCGATGCAGCGGCGCTGGGAACTGCCGGGTCTGGAGGTAGAGGAGGAACGCGCCACCGCGCCGTCTCTCTCTCCGTCTCCCGCGCGCTCCGCCCGCCGGCCGCTGGCCCACAGCCCGCACCCGGCTCCTTGGGTGCGGGAGGACCCTCCCAGGGGGCCGCGCTGGGGCGCGGGGGAGGGGTCCTCCCTGCTTCCCGGTGACTGGGGCGGAGGCTTCGGCGAGGAGGATGGCGCCCGGGAGAGGCGCCGTGGCGCCGAGAGCACCAGCTACGCCAGGTAAGTAAGTGCACGGCGCCCCTTGCCCCCTGGTGTCCCCGCCCTGCACACGCTCCCCGCCCCTCCGGGCCGCTCCCAGGGGGTCCCTGACGGCTCGCGACTGCGTGGGCTCGCGAGCTTGCAAGCAGGCGCAGCCCCGCGCTGGGGAGCCACGGGCCGAGGTGGGGCGTGCGGGGCTTGCTCGGGCTGCACTTTGGGGACCGGCCCCAGTTGCGGGAACTTTAATTAGACTTTTCGCTCCTTGGATTCACTGGCCGCCGAGCGTCCGTGAATGGTCGCCTTTCGGGCTTGGTGGGTCTTTGAGGCTCTTCCTCCCTCTTCCAGGCCCTGGCTGCCGAGTGCTGGGCGCCGGGCTGTGAGCGCGGCGAGGGCCCAGCTGGAGAGCCAGGGGCACCCGCGCCCTTCCCGCGTGCTCGGAATTGGGACTCGAGGGCACGCCGGTGGCAGCAGGGGCCAGGGAGAGTTGAGGCTGCCTTGGCTTTCCGCCGGGCCGCGGCGGGTCCCCGGCTGTGGACCGCGCGCATCCCAGCCCCGGCTCTCCCGGGCGCTGGCCTGTTGTGCTCCAGGCGAGAGCGTGTGCGTCAGGGCCCGTGCGAAGGTGTGTTCGTGCGTGTGTCCGGCCGCGCGGGAGGGCCTGGGCGACTCTGCCGGGCCGCGCGGGATGGAGCCTCTTTGCGGCGGGACCCAGCGGCGGCCGCAAGTCCAGCTTATGGCTCACGCGCACGCCAGCTCTTGCCTCGCCGCCGGACGTCGGCGTGCCAGAGAGGCGCGCTCGTGGGTTCGGGCGCTGCTGGCGCCTGGCTCTTGGCTCCGGTTGCTGCTGCCCTAACTTTCCCTGAACGGCTGGTCTCCTGGTCCCAGGACCCCGACCCACGGCTGGCGAGAGAGACCTGCAGCGCCCGGGGCTGTGTGACACTAACTACTGGACTGCCCGTTCTAACCCTCTAGGAGGGGACCCTCCTCTTCGGTGGTACCCTGCACTCCCAGATGGGCGCCCAGCCGTGATTGGCCCACCATGGGAAGTGGACGACCCGGGCCCTTCGGAGCTGACTTAGTCCGGCCAGAGCCTCAGCACGTGGAAGTGGCGGCGGAGCATGGGGGTGGGGGGAGGGAGGGGAGTCGGAGAGGGAGAGAGACGGTCCCACCCTGAGGACTGAATGCTGAAGAGCAGGACTATGATCCCACCGCGTCAGGTTGAGTTCACCTTGACCCCTGCACACGGTAGGACGGGGCTTTTGCTAAGTGGCGCCCTCAGTCTGGACCGCAGCCTTGAAGCGGGAGCCTCGACCTGTTGTAAAAATTTCCAGCTGCCATGGCCTGTCCCTAGTCCCTGTCCCAAAGACTAAACAGACTGGACAAAGGAAAGTGTGGCACTTGACCCTTAAAGGAGACCCTTCTTTTAATCATGAAAACGCAACATGAGACAGGCTAGGATGTGGGGAAGGGAGGGGGAGGGGAAACTCATTCAGAAGCCTTCAGCTGGCCTGTCTCTGAATGACAGACGCGCCCCGCCCTCCACCCCACCTCACCCCCGCCCCAGGGATCCCACCATTCAGGTCCTGAAGCTTCAATGGGATGATCAATAATCCAATCGCGTGTGAACACAGGCAGCCTCACAGTCTGACCCCGTCCCATCGCCAGGGCTCGGTGATCCTGGGACACGTGCCTGGCACCACTTTATTTATTTATTTACCTGGAATCAGACTGAGTGAATTATGCTTTCTGGGTTTCGATTTTTTTAAAGACCCCAAATTAAAAAGTCAAAGCATTCTTACAGCAAGGTCAGGGATTAATTATTTATATAGAGACAGCAGTCAGCCAGTGTGAGGGCTCCTGGCTCTGTGGCCTGAGTCAGACACGCATGCACTGCTGCCAGCTCCGGTGGTTGGAGGCGCTGGCGATCTGACCTCCTGGGCTCGGCACACGAAGTCCCTTGGACTGTGACTGTAGGAGGCGCCTTGGTAACCCAGCCTGCTGTTTGAGATGCCGTTTTAATCTTATAGCCTGCATACCACTTGGGAAATTTCATGCATATTTGCTGTGTTTCCATAATGAACATTTACTGATTACAGAGTGTCAAGGGAATTTCATTTTTCAAACATTTATTCACATCTCTGTTTATGTAAGCTAATATGTCTGTGAAAGTTCGTGACTACTTTTTTTGCTGTGTGGTTGTTGGGCTGTAAGAGTGCCTAGCAGGCTTGTTACAGAACTTGTCTTCCATTCCCTTTTAGGAAGGAAGTCACATTTTCCTGACGACAGGATGGCTTCTCCTCACTCTTAGCTAGGGTTGTGCCGACCCCAGCAGCCCCGTTGTTTTCTGTGTGGTTTTGCATATGGCGCCACTTTAGGTTTTTGCTATTTCTGGTGGTGTGTTCTGGGGGTTTCGGCCTGATGGGGCTGAAGGTGTGGGTCTAATTGAGGTCCATGGCCAATTTCTCCAGGTCTATCTTGCTACCCAGCTTGGATGGAGTCTGAAGCCCCTCTCTTAGCTCTGTCCAGCGTGCACAATCTCCTGAGGAGGGTGGGGCAGCATGAGAACAAGAGGGCTGCAAAGAGGGTTACGGAGCTCCTCACTGGTGGCGTAGCAAGCTACAAGTTGCCTGCTAATTGCAAGGTCAGTAGTTTGAAACAAGCCACTTGGCAGGAGAGAGAGAAGAATTTCTACTCCCATAAAGAGTTACAGTTGCAGAAACCCACAAGGGCAGTTCTAACCTGTCCTGTAGGGTTGCTGTGAAGTGGGATTGACTGGATGCGAGTGAGTGAGTGAATAAACCACTGTGGCAATTAGAGTCAGTAAACACTTAAAAAAAAAGCCCAACCTTTCAGCCGATCGCAGGGTAATGAGTTATAGACAGGAGATTAATCTAGTGTTGGCCAGAGGAGACTGTTGCACAGGCCTTGGAGCCTCAAGGGGACAGCACCCACGTGGTGGCTGGGCAGGGTAATAGTAGGCACTCTGGTGCTGTCTGCAGAACGGTTGCTTCTCTTGGAAAAAGGATGCCCCCAAAGTGGAGGCAACCTGGGGACAGTGGGCAAGAGACCTAGGAGACACTGGGTCATTTCTGGTAGGCTGCGGATGGTAAACCACTGTGACAGTAGGTGTGAGACTTACAAATCAGTTGTGGACAATGTTGTAACTTTTACTTCCCCCAGAACTACCTGTCACTTGTCAGCTGGGGACCTGGGAGGCAATTGTGGGTTTCCCACACTGTAATTTGTTTGAAAAAAAAACCCCAAACTCACTACTATTGAATAGATTTTGACTCATAGTGACCCTGTAGGACAGGGTAGAACGGTCTCTGTGTGTTTCTCAAAACTGTAATTCTTTATGGGAGTAGAAAGCCCTGTCTTTCGCTCTCAGAGCGGCTGGTGCTTTTGAACCGCTGACCTTGCAGTTAGCAGGGCTTCCAAAACTGGTCATCCTAAAGGGAGTATAAGCCTCATCTTTCTCCTGTAGGGGTTGGGGAGCTGCAGCAATTCAAGAGAAATATATCATGGTGCTGAAGAGCAGTAGGTGTTTGGGACATGGATCCCACAGGCTTGGAGAGGGAGGAGGAGGAGAGGTGGGCTGTAGCTTGTGGCAGCGGTCCCCTGTGCACCCTAGTTCGGTTCTATCCTCTAAGACAGTGATCCTTAGGAAGCTGCTTTGTGGTCCTGCCCACCAGACCCACTCCACCTTCCTTTAAGCCCTTGGGCCTTCCCCTCCCATTTGTTGTGACGGCATCTCTTAGCTCTCGCACCTAGCAGGCATTCAGAGCACTAGTGAGAACAGGTGGTTTGGGTCAGCCTCCTGCCCACCTCCTAGCTGGACCAGGCTCCTTCTGGACTGGCTTTCACTGGGGGGTGGAGCCAGGTGCTGACCCCAGTCTACAAGTCAGATACCCACTTTCTTCTAGAGTTTTCTTGCTTGCCAGAGGTAGTCTGGCCTGTGTTTCGTCCACTACGCTCCTAGCCCCTCGAGCTGGCTCCCCACCTGTGCCTAGCCTGACAGATGGCTACCATCTTGTCTCCCTCAGAAGACTCTTACCTGATGCCCTTCTCTTATCTTCAGCTTTCTCTCCTTTGCCTCCTCCCCCCTTGCCCTGGGCTCTGGCTAAGACACCAAACTCCGTTTCCCTGTGGCTGCTGTCTGCTGCTTGGCTCAGCCCCAACTTGCTCACGGTGGCTGCTGGGTCCACCTGGCTCTTTCTTATAGGGCTGGGGTGCGGGGACATATCTATGAGTCACCCTACTTCCTGTTGTGCCCACACTGCTGGCTGCAAGCCCTGAGTCCAGCGACCACTGAGCTGCAGGCAACAGCCTAGGACGTTGTCACCTTGTCCTCACTCTGCCTGCGCTGCCTCCGGAGGCAGCTCTTCCCTGGCTGGGGCCAGACTTGGGGGACGGGAGGGACGAGTGCCAAGGAAAGGATACTGGGAGGCACAGATGGACTCCTGAGCCCGCCTCCCACCCCACCCCAGGCCTCTCTGGGCCTGACCCCTTGGGCTGTTGACCAGCTGTAGCTGGCTTCCTGGCCTTCCTGCGCTGGACCAGCCCTTATCAGGGTGGGCTGCTGGATGCACCCAGATGCTCATCAGTGAAGGGAGGGGCAGGAGGGCCCCTCTCCCAGCAGCCCCTAGCTGGGTAGAGATTGACTCACACTTGGCAGAGAAGTTGTTCCCCTCCTCCCTTTTGGAGCTGCCTCTTCTTGGGGGCTGATGCATCTCTCTGGACCAGGGTCAGCTGCCCAACCCTGTGAGCACCAAGACCCTCCTATAGCCCTGAGCTTCTGCCACTGGAGGGGAGGAGTTTGAAGAGAACATCCCGGCATGCAATACTAATTAACCAAGGGCCTTCTGTGTGCAGGACCGCCATCCAAGCCCTGAGGAGGGGTGCCAACACAAGCAGGTAACAATGCTGGGGCAAATAGCACTCTCTCCTGGCTGTGTTGGCCATGATGAGCTGGCCATGAAGGTTCTCGGCAGTTACTTGGTGACAGGCAGTGTGAGCCACACCGT